CCTTCAGAGATATAGGGTCGATATGGTGGGGGGCTGAGGTATGAAAATGTATAATTATGGCACACCTAGGCATCCGGAAATGCGTTAAGAGAGCAGCTTAGCTCAGTCGGCTAATCTGGTGGTAGCCACTGTGTGTGCGTTGAACCGTGGAGATCTCTAGGTTCCCGGTTCAATTCCCATCGCTGCCTCTCCTTGTGTTTCAGCTAGAGGGCTGAAATACAAGTTACATAGCGCACCGTCTTTCGGATGAGACGTTTAAGCCGTTGGTCCCATGTGCATTTATGGCCCATGTGCACGTTGAAGAACACAGTACACTCTTCGGAAAAGAGTAGGGGATTGTTTCCCGGGGTACTGTCCAATCACCACCAGAAGGACCCCACTGGAAATAAGTCTTTTTCTAGACTTTCGTGGGCTATCCTTGGTGTTTACACCGAATAAATCCAATCCAATCCAATCCACTCTAAGAATTATATTTTCAATAAAATTTTCTTTTTGGCGTGGGGAGGTGCCCGATCCCCTGAATCTGCTAGTGATTTTGAGAGCAAACATTATTCAGTGTTTTTATTTTCCTATGTTCTGTTGTCTATCAACATTTTTATAGGCCTAACGATAAATACAGCAACTTTGGTATGTTAATGAAACTGATATATACAAATTTTGATCTATCTAATTAAAAACATTGTGGAAATATCATTAATTATACTATGGGTTAACGTTCATTAATATCAAGGTCGGAGTAAAATAATTCCCTACAAATTGGACATACACATAGCCTAGATGTGAAACGTGCCACTTTCAACGACGTGGTGTTTCGCATTTTCACTGCATATGTCGTCAACATTATATACAATTATACCACAAGGTAAATAAAACATTGTGTCTAGCGCACAATTAAAAAAGCCTATAATATTATTGGGCATTGAAAATACTAAATTTTTACCATAGATGTAAATGTTATATTATAAATAAATGGAATAATAAAAATTGTGAATATGAACTAAAAATTGAAAGTGCTTTACCGGTACGTGATGGATCAGATAGGTAGACGTCAAAAATATGTATAATCGAGAATTCATAAAATAAGCCAATCTGATCTGATTAAAAACAGGGTAAGCAGTAAATCCCTTTGTTGTTTTGAAGCAAATATGTCCACCACCCTACCGAGCCAGGGAGGGACTTTAACATGGAGGCCGTGGTGGATTCAAGAATTCGAAATAGAGGGGGGTCCAGCGAGGGACTTTCACATAAATAGAGACCCGGGTCTACCAACCTCAGCCGGTAAAAGATAGTAGTAATGGTAGTGGTGGCGGCCCATAATGGAGACAGGGAAAGCCAATTTTATAGACCAGGGAACAGCGAAATTGTAATTTCACTGTTCCCTGGATAGACCAAATTTTTAAAAAAATGTGAAAAAATGTGGAATTCGAAATTCCCTTTAATATATTTAAAGTTTTAACCATGCTAATACAATAAAATACTATTGATACTGATACGCAAACATAATCGTCAAAGATAACGTCAGTCTAAATGTAAGTACATCTCGAAAGAAGCCTATGTTATCTTGATTAGAAGCCCATGGGCTTCTTTTCGAGATGGGCTTCTTTCCGAGATTAATTTTGCAAACTGAAGAGGGGGCTTCTTCTCCAGATTAAGCCCATGGGGCTTCTATTTGAGGTTTTGCGGCATTATCCTTATCATTAAGATTCTAGAAGATTACGGTAACCAAGGTAAAGTACAAATTCTCAGTAGCATAATTCAACGTCATTTAAAACAGTAATTGGGTTACCATTTGTCTACCAAAGGTGGAGTTGGAAGCGTTGACTAAGGCGTTGTGACTATGTGTTTAAGTGATGTGCAAAAAGACAAGTTAAATAAAGAGTTCATAAATCCATGAATAACATTTGCAACACAAATTTATTACAATAATTAATGCGCATCAACCAAAATAACTTCCAATCATATTGGTACCAATTTCTAATTGCTTAAATATATCATAATTTATGTATTCAACAAGAATTGCCTTATTTCTCATTGATTTGCCGACTCCACTATCTTGGCTTGTTTTCCTTTGTGTATTTTCTTTTATGCATAGTACCGTCAGCTCCTGCAGCACTTCAAGATTAAATCACAATCACAATAACTACTAGGCCTATAATGCTCCCAACTTAGGCTAGCATATATCCCTTACAGACTAACATCAGAAGCATCCAAGCCTCTCATCTCAGGTGGCACTACAAATAAATGGAATTCAATACTACAATAATATAAATTCATACACAATACCAATTATTATACGTCTAACGCTTTCACTTTAACCATATTCAAGGTAAGTATTAATACCCGGCACATACCACGTTCATTCCATTACTTGCACAATTACTATTTAACGTATAAAAGGCCTATATGTCTATCATGAAGTCCGGTAATTTCACATTTATAAATCATTAACAGTATAGGTCATTCTAACTCTGTTCTTGTTTTATAAGGCATAAGTGCCAGTGGTGCTCTCAATTAGCTACCACACTTTCCTAAATCTTAGTGTTTTCACCAATACCTCACATCCTATCACTTCTTTGTGCAACTGTGTACGGTACAGGTTAATTCCTTTTCTACCAATTTGGTAATAGATTAATATAATTTCACATTGGCGGATTTAAGAAGGGTGGGGGGGGGAGGTGGCCATTTTGGAAAGTTAAGAAAAAGAGAGAGAAAAAGGGAATATTTCATCACCCGAAACACCTCAGGGGTTATCTTCGGGCGTCTAGAAAACAAAAGTTTCACGGGGGAATGCCCTCGGATAACCTAAGGCAACGTTGTCGCGATCGGCCCCACCTTTCGGACATCTCTGGGTCCGCCCCTGTTTCACACTTCACTTGTGAGCACTTGTCACCAATTGCCACTTGCTTTTAGCTCATCATTATTCGTGTCACTTCTACTTCTACTGACTATATGCCAGTTACTGTACTTCATGCATAAACATTAGTTCTTTTGTTATTGTAATTAGTAGTCTGTGAGTTACCTTTATACTCTTTCACAAAACATATCCATATAAATTTTCATTGTCACACCATTTTATTATCTTCTCGGGCGTCTGCCTCCTTCCTTTTTACGTTGTTTTCTTTATATTTATCTCAATGAACATTTATTTTTTGTATAATTATACTAAAAAGAGGAAGTTAAAAAATGTTATTTTGAATTGAATTGAATTTCCGCACTCGGGCAAAATAACATTAAACATACACATTGATTTTAATATATTTTACAGGTTTTTTTCTTATTTTTTAGAAAAACGCTTAAAAAACGATGTTCCAGTGATTCGAGCATGCCGACGAAAGGGCAAACGATTTGCAAAATCGGAGTCTAAAGTTTGTGGAAAAAAATAGATACGCATTCACTTTACGCTCGCGAGTCACGTGATCTTTTATGTCGTTAGACAACAACGTGGGTTTTCTGACTGAAATTTTCTTGTGAAGTATTTAAGGAAACTTTGAATGTACTGTATGCATATTTGTATTTGTACAATTGGATTTCTACATTTTTGATCGTAAACGAACCCTTACTATTATACAAGTTCAGGTCTCCCTCCAATTAAAGACCACCTCCAATTAAAGATCACTTTTATGTGGCCCCGTTTTAATTCCTATCTTAGGGCTTAAAAATAAAAATATTAGTCAATGTACATAATAAGATGATGCTTTGTGTGTGTTTAGTGTATAATGAATAGCGATAATGTTCGTGGTGATGTTAGTAATATTTTAATTGAATGTTGCTTTTTTCAAATAAATTGTTTATTAAGAATAAATAACAGCATGCAGTAACTGTACATCCATTCTAAACCATTTAATGTATTATTTCTTAATTTCTCACTAAATAGAAAAATATAAGGACCACTTTAGTGCTGGCCTTTAATTATAGGGATTCTATTAGGGTGTGTTTCTACTGAAAATCGAGATCGAACAAGAACCGCGTCCGAAGTGCATTTTGCCTCTACATAAAAAGGTTGCGTATTTTGATACCACGCCGAATAAAGCGTGGAAACTAATAGTAAATAAATATTAATTTGTTCATTATATCACGCAAATTCCATTAAAATATGTTAAAATGCCCATTACAAAGATTACAAATTTACAATATAAAAGTTAAACATTAAAATTCAAATTGGCAAGAAACATCACATAAAATAATAATAATAATCATAATAATAATAATAACAATAATAATAATAATAATAATAATAATAATAATAATAATAATAATAATAATAATAATAATAATAATAATAATAATAATAATAATAATAATAATAATAATATATCGAAGAGAAAGAAATGGAGAAAGTGATTACGTATTTAGCAAGAGAACTGAGGAAATTATGACAAATTAAAACAGTGGTCATTCCTGTTGTAATTGAGACATTTGGAACAGTTCCAAAGAAATTAAAGAAAAGACTGGAACACATCGGTATACAGACTTCAGAAAAGTGTGATTCTGAACATGGCAAGGATTCCCAGGAAGGTCAAAGAAGTTTGAGGAAACTTGTTGTCACCAAGCTTCAAGAATAATGTAATTCCATTGGATACCGGCATTGATCCAATGTGCGATACCAATAATAATAATAATAATAATAATAATAATAATAATAATAATAATAATAATAATAATAATAATAAAAATAATGAAAATAATAAATGATAATAATAATAATTATTATTATTATTATTATTATTATTAATATTATTATGATGAATTATCCGGAATGCAATATAATATGATGGTAATCAGATCGGCAGCAAGACAATAAACTATAATGATTATAAAAAGATTAATTTTCCTCAATGCAATTTAATATGATGGAAATTGCTTTGATAATAAAAGTTTTAACAACATTTTCGATCGACTACCAGACACAAGCAAAAATTTATTTATTTCTGATATTCGAGTAATGTCATGTCGTTATTAAAAAAACAAACAAAGGCTGAACTTTTATTTTGACGTAAGAGAAAAGAATATTTCATTGTGTTGAGAATAGAAGTTTAACATTTGTTTTTATATTAATCCTAATAATAAATTATAACATCGTGGTGTATCACTGGACTGGTGGAACACCGGCAGTTCTGATAATTACTGAAGTATAAATACGAATATGTCTAGCGGAAAAATCATGTAAGAAGCCTAAATTATTGACATGGAAGTACTTTACAAAGTCTGATAAAAATAAATTCTCAATTCCGTCGTTTTAAACAATTCTACTAGTACAGACAGGCCTTCCTACTGGAAAAGTTTAATTAGGCAGCTATTTATGTTGCAGTTAAAAACTACCCCAGAAGAATGGTTCTTTTGTACGAAGAAAAGTTCTTTGCCGTTCCTGGTCGGGTACTTCCATGCCGAAGAACCTTTCTTTAAGACGCCAAATGGAACAGTTCTCTTTTGTGGGCCCCGTTTCTACTGTCACAAGGAACGGTTCTTTCCCGTCAGTAGAAAACAGGCCCGGTTAGACATCAAAGATGAATGGTTTGGAACATTTTTCGCCTTCAAAACTACTTTTAAAATATAAAAGCGATTTTAGTGAAAATGTATACATGCTCTATATACTGTCACACACGGACGTCCTTTCTGGTCAGTTGAAACAGGCCCTTAGATACCAAAGATTGATGTTTTTGGCAGAAAAATGAACATTTTTTTCTCTTTCAAATATACACTGATTTAAAAATATGAATACGGCTAGTGATTTTAGTGTATACACATTCCTCCATATTGAATACTGATTGTGTTAGTAGGACTTTCAAACTTAAATATATCATATGGTTTTGGCAGACCCCAGCTAATCTTTAAAAAAAAACCTTCAAATAAAGAATATATAGTGACTTTAATGCAATTTAAAAAAAATAAATGACGTTATTATGAATATATAATACACAACATGAGCTGATATTTTGTTAAATGTTTTGTGCATACAGTGCTCCATTGAATATGCCAATACTGATAATTTTGGTAGGACGATGTTGTTAGTAATTTTGTAATGGACATGAACAAGCGCAGGACTTGACGTGTGTATGGAATGCAATCCCCGCCAAAAATACAATTTGAAACGTACAACGTACTCACAGAAATAGACAACGTACTCGCACAAACATTCAACGTACTTAGAGAAATAGGCAGCGAACTCGCACATACAACGTACGCGCACAAACATACAACGTACTCCACAAACGTACAACGTTCGCACACAACGGAAAAACACAAAAAGACAAACAAAAACGTACAGCGTACTCGCAGAAATGACCACGAACTCCGTCTATCAGGAATCTTATTGACTCTATGGCGTACGTTGTATGTTTGTGCGAGTTCGTTGTCTATTTCTCTGAATGTGCGATTTCATTGTCTATTTCTATGAGTACCGGTACGTTGTATGGTTGTGCGAGTACGTTGTACGTACTTTTCAAATTGTATTTTGGCGGGGATTGTCTTCCAATGGTTTATTAAGAATCAATAGGGAGCTTTCGATTGCACGACGACGGCGGTAGGACGTAGAACGTAATGATGTCACTAAAAGTCATCTGCGCATGCGAGAACGTTAAGGTCTGGAACGCATTTGGCCAAATCTATGTATGCAGAGAATAGTACGCCAGGCAGGACGGTCACGCATGAGTGATTCCGTTCTAGCGTCGCGTCGTCGTACAAATCGAAAGCGAGATTCTAATTAGAGACCAAAGCTGCTAAGACCACCAAAACCCCAGTCCCAAAAGTGGTCTTTAATTGGAGGGAGACAAAACAGATTACTTCGTTGTTAAGATTACTCGTAGATTATTATTACTATTACCACGTTGATTGGCCTTGAATTCCAACGTTATAATAGAATTTCATTTTTTTAATATAACGACTGTGTGAAGTGTTGTGACAAAATGAGCCACTTTGTAGGCCTACACTTGGTCATTTCGATATATTTAGAAACAGTGTACTGTACATATATAATGCCTTGCTATCAAACGTTGTGATTCATTCATGTATATAAAAGCGGGGTTTTTTTTTTTTTTGGTTTTTTTTTGTGGCAATTTTCGTAAAGTTGAAACAATAAGTAATTCTGTTTTTCAGAATTGTCAGTAGCTCAGTTGTTTATTTTCGGATTTTAGTCATCTGAATTTCAAAATGAATGTTACTTAAGCTAGTGAATTATTTAGTTAATACGTATGTATAATGTATGTACAGAACGTAAGTATAAATGAAATCAATTTGTAGGTATAGCTTCGCACATATATATATTTTGAATATTGATTGTTTCAAACTGATTAACATGCAACAACATGTCTGGCCAACTTATTAACATTCAGAGATTTTCCTTGATAGAAACAGCATGAACGTAAAACATTTTCACTCTAAATAAATATAGTATACTAAAAATTAAAATTGTGTTAGAATTAGTAAAGACATTTATTGACAGAATCGATGTATGTGTATGGATGTAAAATATAAGATATCAAAAATATTGATTCCAGTGCTTATACAGGCCCACAGATATACTGTGACGCATACTTTGTATGTACCATTATCCTAATACTATCTGCTTTTTATTTTCACATAAATTTAAGGTGGCCCTACAAATCTTGACAACCCTAGTTTAGGTCACGACCCATTTTTTTTATCTATCTGGTGCAGATAAGATGTTTTTTTGCGATTTGATGACAGTATTCTGGTATAGTGATGAAGTGATTAAAGGAATGATTTATGATGATGATGATGATAATAATAATAATTATAATAATAATGATAATAATGATAATAATAATAATAATAATAATAATAATAATAATAATAATAATAATAATAATAATAATAATAATAATAATAATCAGCAATATCATCAAGGTTGGATAGTAATCATCATAACCATCATCACCTAATGTTTTATTATTGGTATTATTATTATTAATACCATTATTATTATTAATACCATTATCGTTATTGTTTTTATATCGCTATTTATTTGTTTCTGTTTTTCTTGCTGACAATTGTTCGTTAGGATTTCCCTTGAAAGTGAATTCTGTTCGCTATTGGATTGCTCCGGGCGAGCATGTGGCTTTTCTCTGATTTTGTATTTCTATGTGTTTTCCGGAATAAATAAATTAAATGAAATGAAATAACCATTTCTTTCATAATATTATGAAAATGATAATAATAACAGTGATAATAATAAATAATAATGATGATAATGATAATAATGATAATAATAATAATAATAATAATAATAATAATAATAATAATAATAATAATAATAATAATGATTCTTACTGTTTGTACAACAGAACATAGCGCTTCCTCATTGCTATTAAAAAAAGTAATTAATATAAATGTATATAAGAAACACGAAAAACAATAAATATGTACTACTAAAGAAATTATGAAGTGTAAAAAAAACAAACATGAAAACCAACTTCACGACTAACACGACGTTAGTGAGGCTCGAACTATAGCTGCAATGGTAATATTGAGGGGGTGATATGGCGACTCATATAACCATTGGCCCTATATATTAACCGACCCTGTGTGGGTCCGTGCATTTTTAGTTCATCTACCTTGAGTAATATCATAATAGTTCAGTGATTGTGAGCGAAAATTGTTCATACATTTCACGGTAATTTTGCGTTTATTTTAGTTGCAGCTGGTTTAAACGCTTTAGAAAACTCAAATTGCGTCAGTTTAATTACTCATTTATTAATACTCTTCGAATGGTCCTCTTATCCACACCCTACTCCAGATTTTAATTTAATCATTTTCTTAATTTGACCATGACAAAACTATTCTGGAAATTTTCATTTAGATTCATTGACAAGTTTTGGGAGATATTTAGGTCTGGAACGGTAGCACTTTAAATGACCCTCATACTCAAATTCACACCTGAATCTGGATCGTCACCAAAATTTATTAACTATGGAAAAACTATTCTGCAAAGTTTAAATTCGATCCATTGATACGATATTTGAGATATTTAGGTCTGGGACGTTCGTACTTTCCATAGAATGAATTCATTAATTAGGCCTATAATTCTGGAGGTTAAAACTCTATTAATCAATACTATAAAGTTTGGATTAAAAATTCTCTTAA